AAAAAAAAAAAGATGGCCTATCTATACAATGGAATATTATTCAGCCATAAAAAGGAGTAAAATAGTGATGCATGCTACAATATAGATGAACGTTGAGAACATTATGCGAAGAGGTCAATCACAAAAGACCACACATTGTATCATTCCACTGTATGAAATTTCCAGAATTCATTAATCCATAGAGACAGAAGTGAATGTCAGAGGAGGGATGATAAAAATGTTCTATAATTAGATAATGGTGATGGTTGCACAATCCTGTGAAAATACTAAAACCACTGAATGGTACACTTTAAAAGGGTATATTTTGACATATGAATTTTATCTCAGTAAAGATTAAAAACAAGATTATACTCCTTGACAAGTTAGTGGAGAACAGTTATTTGCTGCCACTTGTAAATGAGAGGTCTTCTTTTGCAAGTTGAGGACCCTGAGGATGACACCGCTGCAAATGTAGGCCACACCACATTCCCTGGAGGCAACTGGGACCTACCTGGGGAACCCTGCTAGGGGTTGTATCTTACTTCTATCTGCTATGCACCCTTCCCATGGCAAAGCTGCCAATAAGTGCCTCCTGCTGATGACCCTAAATCTACTGCTTTTATATAACTGAAAATTAATATGCTTTATTGAATTAATATGCATACTAATTCATATTGCCAACACCACACCTGCACTCTTACCTCATGATTACAGAAGCATATAGGCAAGGACTGAAGGAGATCATGGAAGTATGAAAGCAGCAGATTTCTTACAACAGTGGGATGACTTCCTCCTTCTCTCTTCTCTGCCCATTCCTCTTCCTCCGCCTTCTTTTGCTCCTTTATTATTCATAAGTTAGCATATTAATTATGATAAGTAACTATATAATTTAGTCTTCTGATACATTTCCCAATTGTGTAACTGCATCTTTAATCTGGGCTAATACTTTGGTAGATATTATTTAATTTCAAATCACTATTTTTTTAAAATGGACAGATGTACATAAATTCTGAAGGATCATCCCCATTGCTATTATATTCTCACACTTCCTTGTACACTAACTATAGATTATATTATTTGAATGAAAGAAGATAACACATCCTTCCTTTCCCAGCCTTTCAAAGAATACTTGAGTGTTTTCTAAGTGCCTGTGGCTAAACCTAGACTTAGTAGGATAAGGGAACATTTTTCTGTCAATTGCCTTACAAATTAGTGCAAATTACTGTAGTTGGTTACAAGCTTGATTCCAGATCCATCTAGTTGTAGTTGTTATCCATATTAGTAGGAAATAGCTTAACAAACAAACAAACAAAAGGGCGGGGGAGGGGGGGGAGAAAGAAAACTCAATCTCAACAGAAAAGAACTTAAAACTTGGTCATTTTTCTGATCCCTAATTGTCCCAGTACCAAAAGGTTAGATTGAACCAAAACTTTTCTCCATCTAACTTCCACTCATTGGTCATATTTATGCCTCTGAAATTTCACAGAATACATGCAATCTCTTTTCTTCCTGATTGTTTTCCAAATATCTGGAGACAACTATTAGGTCCTTCTTAAGTCAAACTCTTTCTTAGAGACGGAATTGGCAGTTCTGTTTCTGGAATGTGCTCCCCCAAATCTTCACACACTGCCTCCTCAAAATTCAGGACTCAGCTCCATCATGTCACCTTTACAGAGAGATTTCCCTTGTCACTCGAGTTAAATAGACCCTTCCTTCTTAGTCACTCTCCATCTACTGTTTTATTGTCCTTTTATTATCACTTTGCAGACTTATCCTTTTTGTTTGCATGTTTTACTGCCTCTTTCCCTCCACTAGAATTAGAGCCTCCTGGCATCTGGGACCCTATCTCTCTTGTTCATTCGGTTCCTAGTAGAACTCCATGTTCAATATGACCCAGCCATTCCACTCCTAGGTATCTACCCAAAAGAAATAAAAGTATTTGTCCACACAAAAACTTGTAACATGAATGTTCATAGCAGCTTTTTTTCATAATAGCCCAAATCTGGAAACAACCCCAATGTCCATAAACAGATGAAAAAACAAAATGTGGTACATCCATGATGGACTACTACTCAGCAATAAACTAATAGGTGCAGCAACATGTATGAACCTCAAAATCTTCATGCTGAATGAGACTCCAGTCACAAGAGTCCTCCTCTTCTATTCCATT